AAAAGAGGTACCAAGATGTTACCAGACTCCTTAAACACCTTGATCAAGGCATCTAAGTCCGACTTTGTTACGAATTGGGATGAGTTGGCTGCTCATTCTCCTCCAGTGATAGTCTTAGAGCTTTCTCCTTTGTGAGCAGCTTCTTCTGAGGCAAACCTAGCCTTTCCCTCCTTCCATTTTGGTTTAAGGTGTGGATGGAGACTCCAGCATATTTCTTTGGTGTGCCCCTTTCTCTTGCAATGATCACAAAATGAGTTTCTCTTCTCATCAAACTTGTAGACTCCTTTGTTGGCTGAGATCAGTTCTCCTTTTCCTCCAAATAAGCCGAGTGATCCTTGCTCCTTTTGGACTTGGGAACAGACTTCTTCAAGTGTTGGTAGCCTTTCTGCTCTGAGAAGATGCTTGATGAGGTCATTGTAGGTTGAGCTGAGAGTCAAAAGCAGTCCAAAGACCTTGTCTTGCTCCCTTCTTTCATTCAAGACTTGTGGATCTATGGTACTTGGCCTTAGCATTTCCAGCTCAGCCCATAGTGCTCTGAATTTTCCAAAGTGCTTGGTGAACTCCATATCTTCTTGCCTTAAATCGTTGATAGCCTTCTTGACTTCAAACACACGGCTTAGATTAGAGACATTGCCGAATACTTGCTTCAAAGTCCCCCATAGCTCCTTGGCGGTTTCACAGTAGGAGTATGCCTCCAAGATTTTGTTGCTTAGGGAGCTTTGTAACAAAGCAAGGACGGTCTGGTCTTCCTTGTACCATTGGGTCTCTTCGGCTGGGACAATGACTGCTCTCGCGGCTGGTGGTGCTGCTATGGGAGCGTCACTTGAAACATGACTCCAGAGACCTCTTCCACTCAAGGCGGCTCTTGTGGTTCTTGACCACAGTAGATAGTTCACTCCTTTGAGTGTAACTGGTAAAGCCAATGGCTTATTGTTCTCCATGGCCATGAAATTGATTCTATGGACCTATGGGCAAAGATATAGACTGATGGGTAAAGGATTAGAGAATGGTTTATGAGAGAAAACAGTGAGTGAGCGAATGAGAGAAAGGTAGTTTTAGAGATGTTTAAACTGGATTTAGGGATTTTAGGAGTGGATTAAGTGGTTAAAAGAGAGAGGGATGGCTATGGACCGTTGGGTAAAGAGTTTATGAATTCAAGAATTTCTGGAGTATTAAGGCGAAAAGTATAGAAGATGGGAGTAGAGAAATGAGATTTAAGAGTGTGTAATCCGAAGATCTACACCATGCTCTGATACCATGTTAGAATTTGCGGAATGGATGATCAAGAATTGATTAAGAATGACGAACAAGAACAATAGATAAGAACAAGAAAGTGAAAGTGTGAATTAAGGATAAGTATATTTCCTTAAATTGAACATTACAAATGAGGCTAAGATGCCTACTTATAGATGGTTTTGGTTACTACACATAATAAAGCAACAATGACATAAAGAATAAACAAAGGAGTTGATCTCAAGGGAATGAAAGGGACAAGTCCTAACGGTTGCTCCTTATCTCACACATGTGACCTTATCTTCTTCTCAATGTGACCGTTGGAGTAGAAACAAGAAGTCAAGTATATTCTTGACTTCTCCTTAGCTTATTCGCCACTCCTCCTTATCTTGTGTTCCAAGACTACTAGATGATCATTCTTGAGCAGCACGGTTCCCTAGGTGTTTGTGTACGGACCTGTACGGACATAATCCCTTCTCCTCTAGTTTGATATACTATACTTTAATATTAGCGTTGCTTTGAATCATTACGGATATCCGGATTTTTCTGACCGAATCGAAGCAAATGACGAATCAAATCAAATATAATAATATGCGCACCTCAATTTGTTTATTGTCTATTGTATAATTTTAACTATTATTTGAGAAGTATTTTTAAGTGAAAATATTTGATGTATCATAAAAAACAAAAATTAACGTTTTTATATTGTTGATATAGAAATGTGACATGTTAAATTTCATAAAACAAATAAAATATTTTGATTGGGTAAAATAAAATTAAATTAAATTAAATTAAAATATAAATACACTAGATTATAACTAAAATTAATAAATTCAAGTTAACAGAAAATCATAATTAATATGATTTCAATTTTTATATATAACAGATTACAAAAAATATGATTAAAAATAAATTTACAACTAATATATATATATATATATTATATTTTATATATAAAAATATAAAAAAATAGTAATAAATTATCTAATAAAATAGTAAATACTCTACATATTAACAATGTCGAGAGTGTGATCAATTTTTAACATTTTTTATATTGTTGTTTTCATAAATTTACCTAACTTTCATTACCATATTATTTTATATCTTATCCTTTTTTAAATAAAATAAAATTTATAACATACTCATACACAGTCTCATTCTAGATTATGAATTTGGGATCAAAAATAAAACGAAAATTAACAGAATAAAAATATAAATTGTAATAAGATAAAGCAAATATAAACAAGAAGTAAAAATAAAAATAAATCTCTATAGTATTGTTTTTCATGAAAATCTCATGCTTTGTTTTACGAAGTCATTTAGAAATCTTAAGAATTAAATTTTATAATAAACGCATATGCGGGTCAAATTTTAAAATGAACACATGTGTGGCCAACTATAACAAATTTATTTTCTTCATCAAACTAATTCCTCAATATTGGACGAAGAAATTAGAGAAGAGCTACCGCAGAATTTTATAAAAATGATTTCACAAAGTTTATAACAAATATTATATTTTGATTTTTTTTTAAGTTCTTTATAATTTTTTGTTAATATTTAATATAACTTTTTATTTGAAACCATATATTATAAAATGCTTAAAATAAGAAATTTTGATTAAATACAAAATAATAAAAACAGTTTTCATGATTGCTGTTAAACGCCAAAAACTACATCGTGTAAAAACATAACATTTACAAAAAATATCAGAAAATCCAACCAACACCTAAATATTACAATTCACTTATTTTTAATCCATACTTATGTGGATACATAAATCCACACTATAGAAATTTATGTGTTTTTGTAAGAGAAGAAACTAGGAGAATTAAGGGCTAGATACTCTTGAACAAATTGACTGTATAAGCTAGAACTAACTAAAATAAGAACTTGATATTAATCGGTTGAATGAAACGGTTACAAATATTTATATGAAAGAAACGGACTGAAAAGAGCTCCGAGAGCAGTTACAGGGTTTTCGTGTGTAAAAGTGTAGGAGAAGATCAAGCCAAAAAGTCCCCTTAAACTAAGCCATTTGCCTTCTCTATATAGCTCGCATTGTCGAGCTTCAACCTCCAACGCGTATCTCGGCCACGTGTAGCAGCTTCCTCCGTGAAATTCGGACTCATTTGAACTGGCGAGAATATGCTCTGACTTGGCTCAGATCCTTCCTTGTTTCTCGGGATTTGGTCAAGCTGGAGCTCGACCTCGTCGAACGGAACGTTTTGTTGTTCAGGATTGGATCGTTGAGAGTGAATGGACCTGGACCGTAGGGTCAAAGCCCAGTCAATTTGGCTCAGTTTGGATCTGCATGTTGGGCTTGAGTGGGCCAGATTTAGGGTGCTAAATCCAGCTTCAACAACTTACATGCATAAATATACGTATTTTTCTTTAAAACATTAAACCATATATTATAAAAATATATATATTACAAAACATACTTTGTTATTTTCTTTTAACACATAAAATTCATGCTTCAATTTTTGTACAAATATACGTGTAGATATTAATATTAATTATGCAAAAGTCGAAGTCACATGGAAACTTGTCGTATATTTATTTTGTTAACCCAGATTACAGGCAAATTTTAATTTTAGTTATTAAAAAATTTATATTTTAAAAAAAATTATATATGTCCAAAGAGCGATGAGGTGGTTGGTATGCAAGATAATTAAAGATAGTAAAACCCATTTTGGTTCATTTAACAATAGGTTAAGGAAAAATATATACTGACAAGATTATATTGTGCAATAGAAAATATAGTATAGATAATATTAAAATTGTAACTATTATTAACTATAACTTTTATATTTGTAAATATGTATTATCGTAAATACCAAAAAAGTTAAAGTAAATAAGTATCATAAAGGACGAAATGATATAAAAACATATATGATTGTTGTTAAACACTAAAATTATATATATATACAAACATGAGTTTACATAATTTATAAGAAAATTAATCAATAGTTAAATATTATAACTATTTATATTTTAAAAAACTCATATCAGACCAATCACCTAGTTAATGTATTATTTAACAATGTCTTGTCAATTGATTTATAAAAATAACATAGATTTTAGTAATATAATGGGTTATCTTGAAATATGTCAAAATTAACTAGTAACTTCAGTTGAAGCATACGTATGGGGGTGATCCTGACGTTTTTTTATTTCATTTATCAAATACATATATTCAAATTTATGTTTGCAATTTAAAAAGAATAGGAATAAAAAGAAAAAAAAATGAAAAAATAAAAAAATTGAATAGGAATAAAATACATAAAGAAAGAAATAAATTTATTTAAGTTTTTTCTCAAATTTTATAAAAAATACATTTATTTTATAATTTCATATACAGTAAGGAATAAGAAATAATGATGTGGAAACAATATTCTTATCAAATGGTAAATATTTTCAAGAATGAAGAGGAATTGATTATTATTCCTCTCATTTTCTTATTCACCAGTTGAAGCAGTTTCGAGTTTGCATGCTTAATCTAATTCCACTTGCTTGCTCTTGAGAAACTTTAATGATAATAAGATTAAGCGCTGATCATCTATTTTTATAGATTGATGTTTTTAGTTTAGCCCACTAACTTGCTCTTGGAGAAACTGCTTCAAACTAATCACACTTAGATCATGAACTGTTTATTCAACAAATACACTTGCACGATACTTCGATCATCAACTGATGAACACACAAAGATAACTTTTTTTTAAAAAAAAAAAACATAATAAACAAGTTCTTTCCAAATATGTTTTTCAGAAATGGCCGGCGGATTTCAACGGTGGAATGCTTTGTTCCTGGCAAAAGAAATATGTTGGATCAACACTCGATTTCACTCTCACCAATCTCTCGAAGTTGTTCTTGAAGTACTTCACTCCCCAACTCTTTCCTTCCTCGTACTTTGTCTTCTCCTTCCTAGTATACATTCCCGAATTATGGTCCATGAAATTGACATAAGCTCCTCTTGGAGATTTCAAAACATAAGGAGTCATAAAATGGTAAACGTTCTCGACCCATTTCAGATACTTCTTTGTCTCCCTTTTGTCTTTATCTTCTTCTTGTCTCCAATAAGCCATATACTGAATCTGATAAAGATTCCCTTCACGATGAGGGAATGGTGTTTCGTGCTCTGCGATTTCACTCATTTTCACACCAAATGGAGTTAAAAGGATCTTTGCAAGACGAGCCTTGGGCGCTTCTACTCGCCTCCACAGCTCTTGAACTGCGGCCTCAGGTTTCGGTTCTTGGACAAAATCGTTTATACCCTTGAAAGATACTGATTCGCAAGAGCAGCAAGAGTTTCTCCATTAGGGGAATTGGCAAACCAGAGAACAGACTCGATCCAACTCATTTCCGTACAGTCTTGAACCCTAAGACCTAGTAATGGAAACTTATCTTCCATCAAGGCCAATAGATCGTTCACCGGACCAATATAATTTCCACTGAATGAAGTCTGCACCGCGTTATTGTTTGATCTCTCCAAAGTTGCCCTGATGTAAAGATTGTTAGGAACATTATCAGCAACATACTGCCACTTATTGATCATCGGAACAGCCTCACTCTCCGATGTTTTCTCGACTTTTAAGACCGTTGCCATCGATGAAACATCGACTAATCTAATCTTCCACGACAATACAACGGCAAAGCTCGATCCGCCACCTCCACGAGTCGCCCAAAAATACTCCTCTCCCATTGCTTGTCGGTCAAGAATCCTCCCACGGGCATCAACCAGAAGTGCATCAATCACGTTATCAGACTCTAAACTGTATTTTCTAAGCAAGGTACCGTAACCTCCACCGCTAAAATGTCCTCCGACGCTGACGGTTGGGTGAGTACCGGCCGGGAAAGCAAGAGATTTGGTAGTTTTACCAATCTCATAGTACAATTCTCCATCTCTGCTTTGGACTCAACCGGTCCTGTTCTCAACGTCTAATGTTATAGATCTAAGATTCCTTAAATCAATGACAACGAATGGTTTGGTGTACGCAATATAAGATTGACCTTCGTAGGCACAACCCCGGTCCAATGAATTTTAAAGTCCTTGGGTAAAAAAAATATTGGGCCATTTAATATCAAAAATCAAAATTTTGGGCCTTTCAATATCAAAATTTAAAATTTTAGACCCTTTAATATCAAAAATCTAAATGTTTTAGGCCCTTTTCTAATGATTTTGTCAATAAAAAAAAATTTAAATAAAAATATATTTTATTAGAACAATATTTTCGAAAATAGGCTCTTAAATGTACAGTATTGTCTGAAATTTGGTCTGGGCCCCTGGGCGGGCGCACCTCTGCCCACCCCCCTTGGGCTGGGCCTGCGTAGGCGTGACCACCGCCCCGAAACCTCAGATGGACACCGTACACCCATGCACATCTGATCACGGTTTGAACATCAGTGGCTTGAACCGGTGTGATGATTGAAACCGGTTTAGGTGTTTCGGGAACCGAGAATCTCGGATTTTGTATGGAAGACGCTAAAATGGAGGAAAATGATGAATCTTTGGAAGTGTGTGTGATTTTGGTCTCGAAGGTGTTTTCATTTATTTTGCGAGAAAGACAACTAAGAAAGTCGTCGTGGTTAGTACGATTAGATAAAACAAGAAGAGAAAGGTTCAAAAGAAAGAGTATGAGAGAAAGCAAAAAGCTTGAGAACTCCATTTCTAAGATTGGTGAAAGTAGATAAAAAAACCCAACTTGTAAAAAAAACTAGAAGTACGATAAATTCAAAATTTGTGGAAGGGGCTATTATACTTCAAAATACGATAATTTCATAAAACATCAAGTTTATGAGAAATTTGTCTGCGCTGAATTGATAAAATAAATTAAAAATGTGCTCGAGATTACTATATGTAATGAAAACGTAAGTTTGAATGTTGATTAATTACTATTGTAGAATACTTGAAATCATCCCTAGACAGAACTTTAGAGTTGAACTTTGACCACGACTTTTCTTCAACGGTCCATGTTAACCTTGGTTTAGGTCTGGTTACCCCATCAGCTCCAACAACAGTTGGTTCTGTCCACCCTTCTTCAACTATTGTCCAAGCATCCTCATCGTACCCTTTGATGAGGGTCTTGATCTGAACCTTCTACCATCCGTAATTCTCAGCATCAAGAACAAGTGACTTAACCGAGCCGAGATGTTGCATGTTTTCCATACTTTGTCTCACAATCACACCTGATTAATAAGAACAGACAATCTTTAGCAGATTGTTTGTAAGTGTAGAAAACAGGCGCAACAGACAATTACTTGGAAGGCGCCAAGTCAACGCTTGTTTTATTAACTAAAATTAACAATTCAATCACAGATTATAATTGTTTGGACTTATGCAACTCTAACCTAGATTGCCCCAAAAGATTCCTAGTTCAATAAAACACTCTTCATACGATCACACAGCTCGTGTATCAGGGAAGAGGACACTAACCTTCTTGCTTCTTAATTGCTATGGAAGCTTAAGGATGATCCCAGTACTTGCGGCGCAAAGTGTCCAGACCACACTTTGCCGGCTTCCTTTTTATACAACCTACCCAAAATACTAACCCTAAAATCTAATTGCATATCCTTTTGTAACAAGTTTTCCTTATTCCTAGATTCTCAAATATATTCAAGATATATCTGAAACTTCCTTCTTTAATCAGTAACCGCTGAATTCCACATCAGGTACGATTATCCTCAGCTACAAGCATCCTGCAATTCCTTTTGAGCTGCTCCCTGATGTCATTTACATCTTCAATATTAACTTTTCTCCACGAGCGAAAATTGTTTCTTATTAGGGAGGATTACTAGAATACTCTTTTAGATAGCTGTATTGGCTAGAATAACTGAACTTTGTTTTTATTACTGAACTAACCTAGCGTACCGATTATGTCCTTCGAGCCTTTGATAACAAAAACGGTATTTACGATTGTGCCATTACTTTTCCTTTGCCATGTCAGCGAGATGTTTGACGGTAGACTTGTTTCGTTTGGTCAACGGCTGGTAGATTTGTTTCGTGTGGTAGACTTGTTGTTGACGGTGAAGTGCTTATGACGCAGTAGATTTTTTGGGAACGGTAGACTTGTTCCTTGAACGGTAGATTTGTTTCTCGAACGGTAGATTTGTTATGGACCTTGGTAGACTTAAAAATATGTTGTGGAAGATTTTTTGTTTTCGATCCTACCGGAGGGTGATTGATTGACTTTTTACGTTCATTGACTTTGAGTGGCAGTAGATTTGTTTCTGGACTTGGTAGATTTATTTTCATTTGGTAGACTTAGTATTTGTGGTGGTAGATTTGTTTTTTATTTACTTGGTGGTAGAGTTATTTTGTTGATGGTAGAGTTTTTAGTGCCAACGAATCCTGGTAGATTTATTTTGCTGTTGTGGTAGATTTACTTTATTTTCGTAGTGATAGAGTTATATTTTCCATAATTACCAGAATAACATCATTGGTAGATTTATCGTGTTACGAGGTGGTAGACTTAATATGTGCTGGTAGATAGTTGACTTTTTCACAGATCGTAATTACGTAGTGGTAGACTTTTAATGGGGTATTGGACGGTGAAGAACGTTGAAATCAAATGTTGATAAGTGGGATGTTGATTTTGGACGTGATAAGAATGTGAATATTGCAGTGAAGAGATTCAACCTCTATAGCATCTGTTGAAGATTCATTCATTACATTTCAAAATTTATCGAAAGTATATAGAGAAGCAGTTTTTAAAGAAAGAAAGTACTTAGAGATGTTCAACGAAGAAAGTGCATAAAGATAGATAAAGCGATTCACAGTAGAAAATAGACGCTATTAAAACTGAAATCTAAGTAGTTGGTACTGAAGAAAAATGTAGCACTCGTGGCAACACATTAATGAGTGTTTGAATCTGCAGCTTGGAAATTCTTCTACTTTGAAAACATTGGGCAACAGATCTGCAGTAGCACTCTGCATTCCCATCTTGGTTCGAGAAACCTCTTCACCTAGTTCGATCATGTAGTGCATGCGTGATCTCCAACCTACAACTCTTTCCAACATCTCCATTGCAGTTGGATAGTGACCATATGCGGTTGCGATAACAGCGACCATCAATGTTGCTTGGTCTATCCCGGCTTTGGAAGCCTTGTTGAAAAATCTGAGCGAATTTTCAACGTCGTGGTCTATAGCTATTGTCCTCATCCCGTGCAGGTATAATGCATGAGGATTGTCTGATGAGAGAGCCAAATTGAAGAAGTAAGGATATCGTTGGAGCAAAGTTGTATCATCAACGAAGTCTGATAGGTTTAGTGCTTGCATTACAGATGGTTCCTTTAATGCTGCGTTTAGCTGTTTTGACGCACATGCTGCACGACATGCGTCCTTAGCAGAAACTCGTCCCACTCTCTGAAGAATCGGCCCGAGTAGGTCTCTTATTTCGTGGAGTCCATCATTTGTTTCCATTTTACGCTGAAACATAGAGAGTATAGAGAAGCGTATAAAGTCAGAACTGCAGATAAAGTAAAATTTCCATCAATGAACCAAGTATATCTACCACAACAGATTAAAAATGGTCGTATACCACAAGTAACAAGTCTACCACCACGTATATATATATGTCTAGTACTAAAAAGTCTACCACAAGTAACAAGTCTACCACAACGGCTTATTATCAGACCTAGAGTTAACGTAAATCTACCAGAAAGAGGCCTTGTATAAGTACCACACAACATCAGATGAAGTGATTTGACGATAATCTCTAACCTACAACAGATGTGAACTCGCCACAGAAGTTTAGGTATTTGGCGGATGAAAAGGAAGAGAAAGCGGAATACTTACCGACGAGAGTTAACAGTGTCGGATTCGAGTAGAGTGAACTTGCCGACGTCGTGTAGAGTGAGTTAGGAGGGGGAGTGCCCGGACAGAGTGATGGCAGCGGTGGAGGTAGAAGAGTTAGTTGGGAGAGGTGGAGTAGTAAAGTAAATGGTATTTCATAACCAAAAAATAAAAATAAATAAATAACAGAAATTTGGGACCACACATCACATTATCTTCCTCACCCACTCTATGTTATCGCCGCCTCCATCATTTTTCTCCATCTGGTTTGACCATTGAAAGTAAAATCTCGATCGCCTTCTTGTTCTTCCTCTATTAAATTCTTAGTTCGATTTCTGTTTAGCTGGTTTATGAAGGTCTTGGTCATTTTGAATCGATGGAACAAATTATTTTAGTTTGTGGAAAATGGAGTTTTCATAATAATCGATGGAGGTTTGGCATAGATAAGGGAAAGGGATGTCGAATATTGCGGGTACATGAAGAAACCTCTTTCGCTGGATTTCTGGGAATGGTGTTTGAAGATTTTGGTTTGGATCCGCGAAATCAAGATGTGCAATTAAGCTACATGTTGTCCAAGGAGGTACTGCAAAGATTACCACATGATACACCTCCTGTATTTGTGGCAAATAATAGACAGTTGAACGCGTTTTTCGAGCAATTGAAAGAAGATCGGATTCGCATGTGTGTTGAGATTAAATCAAAAAGTCCCGATGAATTTGGTTCAGATGGAGAGAATCGTCATGCTGCTAGGAAGGAAGGAGATGTTACTGTTGAAGAGGAAGTAGATGAAGAAGAAGGCGATGAAGAAGGAGTTAAAGAAGAACAACAACATGAAGAAGCAAAACGAGATGAAGAAGACGAAGACTTGAGTACCAGATATGATGGATGCGAAGATCCGGATGGTGCTACTTATGATGACGAAGAATATGGAACTTCTATAAAATCAAGGGATGGAGAAAGTGTTGATGTAGAAGATGATGGTGAAACTCTACCACCAAAGGTAAATCCTGCAATAATTCCAGATTTTCTTAAGATGGAGATCAGTTCAATGGATTTAGCTGTTGGCCAAAGGTACCACACAAAAGAGGATTTGATTATGCGCCTGCAAATTCTGAGCGTCATTAAAAAATTTGACTATGATGTTGCATATTCAACACCAATATTGTTGGTGGTAAAGTGTTGGGTTGAAGGATGTGCATGGCGAGTTCGTGCTTCAACTGTAGGTGATGGTTTAAACTTCTACATTAAGACTTACGTTAGCAATCACACATGTTCTGTAACTGTCCGATCACTTCGTACCCGCCATGCCACTTACCAGATTTTAGGACGTCTCTATAAAGACTTTGTCGGTGGTGTTGAACCTTCTGTATTGCCAAACCATGTCTCCGATGGGCTGACAAAACGATTTGGAATTAAGGTAAGGGTATGGGTATGTTCTGATGTGGTAGACTTATGTACACTTTAAGGTGGTAGATTTAATTACGTAGATTTTAGTACCCATGTGATGTGATGGTAGATTTATGGTGGTAGATTTATTTAAGGTGGTAGATTTATTTACGTAGATTTACGTGTGGTGATAGATTTATGTTGGGTTTCTCTTTCTACAGGTCGATTACTGGAAAGCACATCGGGCTCTACAATATGCACGACAGTTAGTTTCTGGAACTTCGGAAAGTGGGTATGAAGAACTGCCATCTTACTTATACATGATTAGGCGAGCTAATCCGGGGACACTTATAAAGCTTGATGTCGACAATGAAGATCGGTTCAAGTTTATGTTCATCGCGTTTGCTGCAAGCATTTACGGGTTCCCATACATGAGGAAAGTTGTTGTGGTAGATGGCACGTTCTTGCACGGGAAAAACAAAGGTACACTA